CTATATTAGATTTGAAATGTTTAAAAAATAGACTTCAGAGGTATGTTTAACACCAGATCATATAATTATAACAAGATGAAAATCGTGAATTAACGCGGCCATTTATTATGGCGAAAAATTAAACACGCTGCTCACCGTAAAGCTCGATGACAATGATGATGATGATACAGTGAGTACCAAAAAAAAAAATACAATAATAAAAATTGATAAAAATTTAGGCTTAATCTTGAAAAAATCATTTATGACCAAAAATTATAATATAAATGAATACTAAATGCATTTTAAAAATCTAGTCATCACTTAAAACTTTAATTAGAAGCAAAAAAACAACAACCTATAATATATATTTGATTATTTTAACATAAAGCTATATGAATTAAGTAAATGTCATACAATGAAAATGGTCAGGCCAGTTGGAAACACCAACATAATAAATTACTTAAATAAAAGACTATTATAAAATATTTTAAAGCCTAGTGTGTAAAAAAAATTGTGAAAATATTATTGTTTACAAAGTTTGAAACGTGTGGAAACAATTAAAAATATGTAAAACATAATCTGAATTAATATAATTGGAAAATATATAAAATTTATTTTTAAGAGAAAATAAAGTAAGCGGGCCAGCCAGCCTGAGGTCCTATTTTCTAAAACGATCCGTAAGAAGTTAATCGATTTTATTGTAGTAATGGTTGATATGATATGTAATACGATTATTATACCTACATGATAAATAATTATTTATAATATAAATATACGTATATTAAGGATTTCTATCTAATATTTGTATAATCATTAATCACCAAATCGCCAAAATATAAAGAAAATCAATGCATCACCAAATAAATAAATAATTAAAATAATGTATTTTTATACGCAATGCATATTAAGTTGTCGTAATTATAGTAATTGTTGAGAATGTGTGTGCAATGTAATTTCAAATTATTCTGTAGGGGTTTCAATTGTTTTTATCAGAAGATTTTGATAAAATTGAATTTTGCGGCAATATTTTCCAATAATGTACTCTTCTGTTGCCATTATTCTATCGCCAGTCATCATGTTTGTACTTCGTACATACGCCTAAAGCCGATTCGAAATATCGCCGCGCACCTATAGAACCTATCTCTATTGCTGCAGGGTATAGCTGTTTATTTTGCTCCTCTATATTCGCAGGTTTTATTACTGTAAACAATATAGATTTAACATTATAATATGATTTATATCGTCGTCATCACATGTTTATGACGCATGTATGAATATGATATATACGCTTTAAGTATACACGATATGCTTATATGCTTATACACACACACACACACACACACACAAACATATATATGTATATATATATTATATATACATACATGTGTGGACAGTACAGGACGGAGAATACTGGCGGGATATCATACCTGAGCGGCTATACTCGCCCGGCGAGCTGTCCGTTCGCGTTATCCTCGTGAATGGTTTTCCATCTGATATAGAAAAAAAAACGTCATATGATACGGTGGTGACTATAGGACCTAACCCTCATCAGATGATGGTAGCGGTGGTACACCTCGAATGTATAAATATAATACACGTTGTATATATTATGATATAATACATAATATTTTATATATATACTTGCATAAAAATATTTATAATAGTTATAGTTATTTAATATTCACACACATACACGAGTATTCAATAATACGAACAATACGGTTGTTACTATATAGGGTGCGATAGTGAAATGAAAAAGCAATGAATTGGTAAAAATAATTAATAATTAATTTCAAGAGGAGATGAAAAACACGCATGAGCATTTTTTTTAATTTTTTTTTTTTAGGGGATATGTAAATGGGTATTATGGGCAATTACATTTTGCAACTAATTTATATATTCTTCTCACTACTCAAAAAAAATTGAAAACATCATTATGCGCACTGAGATTTATAGCACGTGTTATTATTATTATTATTATTATATTATGTATTATGTACACAAAAGTTTTACGACAAATATAAATAGCATTAAGCATATATTATGTATAAATGACTATCTAATAACGATTATAAAAAATCTTTGTGATAATCTTCTCTAAAATAATAAATTATTGTAGAGCTTTGTCTGAATTTCTGTTCAAAAAAAATCGATGTGATCCGTTGCGCATGCCGCATTGTCACCATGTAATGCGCATAATGACAAACGCGACACGCGTCGATGACGTTCGTCGCCGAAAAAAAGAGAAAAGGATTAAACCTTTGTGCCATCCCTTAAAACCACTCATTGTTAGAGTCCGCACATCAGTCGAAGTTTTAATAGGCTCGTATCTGCGTAATATTACTTGGAATTTTCTTTTGATATGAGATTTCCACAAGAATGGCGTTTCATTTCGAGTTTTATTTGCTTTTGAGTGATTATACGTTGAATTTATAATAAGAGTAAATAGGTACTAATATTATACAATATAGGATTTGTCCAAGAAGTTTAACTGTAATCCGGACTCACAACTTGTTCTTTTACCATCTATCTTAATCCTTATACTTATATGCCTGTTGACAATATCTCATCTGCAGTGATGTATGTATATGTAGGAAAGTAGTACCTATAGCTCGTTTACGTAATATTTAAATACGTATTATATTATCTACGGCAATCGTTTTCACCAAATGTATATTTTTTCCCTTTCTATCAAACGATATAATGTTTGATTGATTCCCGTTCCATAAAAACATTTAAAACAGTTTTCATACCTATAAATATTAAAATTTAGCATTATTAATATTTAATAGCAGAAAGATATGCAGTATTGCAGTAGTGTATAAGATGTACGACAATAATTTCTTTGCGTTTTATTTTTAATTCTGAGCGATCTTAATTTAATTTTGATGTAATTAAAATAATATATCTCTGTGATCAATATTTCTTGTAAAAAGGTTTGAAAAAAAAACCAAAAAATGTATTACCTGATGATAACTACTAATATATTTACACGTAGTCAAAAAACATTGCCTATACAAAACTCCTTAAAGAAAATATTCAATAGTTCTAAATAATAGGTTATGTTTAAAAATAGTATCAACAAAATTAAATGGCATTCAGTAAGTTGCAAAATAAAAATTTCACATACATTTTAGTTTAGTTGTAAAGAGCTATAAGAATATAATATTTATATATTATATTAAATTCATTGATTTTAAACCGTTAGTTGTTATACTTCTTCAAAGTTCGAGAGTATAATTTTTCGAATTCTAATAATTTGATAAGCCTTTAACGATGGTCGTAATTTGGATATCTTTCTGAATTATTTTTAGATAATTTATAACATATAAGTTTATAACATACTATCATTATATACCACCTAAATGGTCTAAGCAAAAAAATACATTTTACTAATGAAATATTATTTATATGTTATACAATTTCCATTTTGAATTAATTTTAAAATTTGGATAATTGGCTCAATTAATTTTTTATACTGAAAAGTTTTTAATTGAATTATTGTGGTAAAGTAAATTATTTTCAAGGAACTTGACCAATATAGATTAAATTAGTAAATTTGTATAAGTTGCATATGTATAATTTAGGGTTTTATTATCTTTAAATTGCAATAAATAATAACATATTATAGTAAAAATTGATTAGCAATAACCTATTATAACTACTTTTATCATAGAGATTTTTAGGTTTTATACATTTTTTTAATAGTAATCTATACTTTTTCTAAACAGAATGCTAATTAAAAAAAAATATGCAGATGAATCTAATTGAATTTTGAAAAAAAAAAAATGTTATTTTTAAATATTTAAAATTATTTAGATGAGTTGAATTAAAGTGAGTGAAATAGAACACTCACGAAGTTTATATATTATACAACTTTACTTACAATTTTATTTCATTTTAAAATTTAGTAAAAACATAATTATTCTGATTATATATATATATTATACAGTGCATTTCACAAATAATTAGGTAACTGATTTTAAATATGTATATACATTTTTTTTTTTTTTTTTTTTATAAAAGATATAATATCAAATATAGCATATAATATGTCACATGATACTTAAATGTTCTATTATACACAAAATAAACTAATTAATTAAATAAAAAATCTATTTTTTTTTAATTTTTGGGTGCTTTGAATAGTTTAAGGTAGGACTAAGTCACGGTATTCGAATTCAAACTACAGCTGTTGTGGAACCGCATTTACGGAATCAAAAAAATTAAGTGAAAACTGTTAAAATCGATTAAAATTATATTTGTATGATTGTCTGAGATAAAAGGAAAAAGTCCACGCTTTTTTTTATTTGAAAATGTAATTGATCAAAGTCGCTTTATGGAATGCTTTATAAGGCTGTAGGGCTGTACAAATAATTATTTCTATACAATAAATGTCAGTGAACAATTTTTTTAAATAACTTTTAAAAATCACTCTGATAAGAAATAGTAAAAAATTAGATTTATTAAGTAAAAAAATTTCGTTATTATCATTTCAAATCTTAAAAAATTGTCTTGATTAAACATCACAAAAAATTAACAATGAAATGATTACTAATTAGTATCCCGAGTAAAACGGACCACTTAATACATATATACACACAATAATTATTTTTATTAAATATTAACGAAACTAATGCAGTTTTCACACGACCTCTCTGTATATAAATAATGTATAATAATTATTATTATGACACCGCGGGTCGATAAGGAAAATTAATTACAACTTCGTTTATATTTTTATTATATTACAATAAATATTATATGAGTATACTATGAGTATGCGTATATATCATTTTAATACGTGTATAGTGTATACATAGGTATACATATAATGTGGCGACTGCAGACTGCAATTCACTGCACGTGTGGTGGGTTTCGGCTAGGAGAGTGGGATCTTTCGGATTGAGAAGGACGTTCGACCAACCGCCACGGCGGTGGAAAAAACAACGCAAAAATAATAATAAATACGTACCTAAAGTGTTTTTAATTATTTTTCATCGCGCACATGGCACGCGGTTTTCGCGGGCATCAGTCGGACGTCGGGTTGGCGCTGCAATAGCACGATCACGCACGCGCCGTCCGGTTTTTAATCGTATTTTTTTGTGTTTTTATTATTAATAATTTTACCATCGTCGTTATTCACGTTCCGTTTCCATTCGGCCACGTTTGTAATACCGTTTACGGCGTATCGCGATAGATACTTTAAATCGTATTTCAAATTCGTAGTAGGTATCCATTTAATATATTATATGGTAGTGGAACGTTTTCGAATCTTATTTTCTGATGTGCCATCGAATCACTGTGACAAAATCATCATCGTTGTGTACGCAATAATATAACTATACCTATTATAATATTGCAGTGTAGGCACCGTTTTTGATCATTCGCGTTTCGTGAGACTTTTCTGTAACGATGAACGAAAAGCCCAGGGTCGTGTCCGCGTGCATGAAACGCATTATTCGGACCAATGGACGAGCGCAACAGAGACCTTTAATATCAGGTATCTACGAATATAAAATACATGTTATATTAAACGATCATGTAATATCGATCACCATTTAATATCTGTAATTATGGCACACAATACAATTTAACTTATTTTATAATAGTCTTTTGATAAATATAATATAATTATACCATATTAATACGAACGTTTAAAATATAATAAACAAAGAATAAAAACCGTGTAAAGGACTGTTAGGTCGGGATATACGATATAATAATCATAATATATATATATATATATATATATATATATATCACAGTAGGCTTATGTACAGTATAATATTAAGTTTATATTTAATTTTAAGTCGTATTTTTTGCATATGCGCTTACAACGTCAGAGAGTTTCTAGATAAAATAATGAATTGAAAAAAAAAACGATTAGTTATAATAATTTTATTTTGATCGAATAATATTGAATAAATTTAAAACAACTTATTTGTATTATGTATATATATTATATATACACGTAATTAAATCCATCAACCTCATAACATAATACAGTAGATTACGAATTTTTAGTTTTGTTTTGACATTATAAAAAATGATTGAAATTGAAATTTAACTTAAAGAAAGTGTGTATATTTAGTTCGATAATGTAGCATTTCCTGTAGTTTCATCATGTTTACATTTCATAGAATTTACGTGTTTACAGAATAAATTCAATTTGTTCTAAAAAAATAATTCTAGACTTTAAAAAAGTACCACACAGTAGGCTACAGTAAGTAATTAGAGTATATACATTATACATAGGTATATTATATTTAAAATATATAATTATATGTATAATATAATATTAACGCTTTTTAAATAATTATGAGAAGAAATGGAACTATTAAAAACACGTTGTTAAGTTAATACACTTTTAATGTTTGAGATTCAATTTATTTCAATTTCTGTGTACATTAAAAAAAAAAAACAATTAGCGGTAATGCTTGTATAATATATGATATTATGTAGATATTTCATTTATTTTTACAAAAACATGATTTATTTTTCATATACTTGCTAACTAAAGGTAATAGATATAAAAGTATGTATTATTTACATGGAAATTTAAGTTTTGAGAACAACATTAACATGTTAAACATTTAAATTATTAAATGTATTCAAGATTGTTATCGTTTACTCGAAATATAGCCTGCTAAAGAGTATACTTCGATTAGCATATATGAATTTAGCTTTTACAAACATTTTCACTGCTCAAAAATAGCAATAAATAATATGATATCTTTATTTTCTAAAAAATATCACATGATATTAACATTGAATCTGCTATATATATACAGTAAATCTGTTCAAATAGTCTAAACCTTTATGAGATTGCATACGAATTTCGTCCCTGATATAAAAATTGTAATTCGTTACATATTAATTGCGTCCCGATAATATTTAAAAACTACTAGGTTCAATTAAACGGACAACAAATAACTGTGAAGCTTTCCATTCATAATTTAATGGTATGTTTTACTCTGCTCATTCAAATATCAACAATTTTATTGTTATACTCAAAAACATACAAAATTATACTTGCATAAAAATTCGCAATAGTAGTCTAATAAAGAAAATTAGATGTGAAATATGTTAAAAATAATAATTGTTAAGAAAAGAAATGATAAAATACGACTTGAACGAAATAACACGTTTTGTCCGTTTTAATTTTGTCAAAACTGTATCATTAAAATTTTTTCCGAGCCATAAATAATATTTTAATATCATATATATAATTTGCACATCATAATTTATATTTTTACTATTTTTTTTTTATTTTTTTATTTTTATGTTTAACGACGAAAACAATATTTTTAACTTACCTTAAGCAATATAATGTTTATAATATTTATTTAATGTTGTTATTGAGTCTTAAGTTTTGTATTAATTAGGAAAGAAAATAATGTATTTATATTTGACATAATTAGTATAGTTGTTTAATATTATCGGGACGCAATTCGTATGAATAAGGGATCTTGGGACGCATTTCGTTTGCACCGCTTTATGATTATTGTTTTAGGTCAAGATTAAATTTTCATAAACTTTATTTTTGTCAAAATAATATTTTAATCAATTTTTTTTTCAAACAGAATTTTTTAAAGTGTTATTTAAATTCAATGAAATATTTAAAACATATTAAACATATAGTATTATAGTAAAAACAAAAAATGAATTAAAGCGGTTTACTATAAACTATATGCAAAAATGTAAATGAGTATAAAATTAAATAATATATAATATCATTTATTATGTAATTTTGATTTTTTTCAAAAGATTACATGCATAACAATTAATTTTTTGTTGCTAGATACTATGTAGTGCACAAAGCTATGTAAAAATACCTAAGGAGGTATAGATTTCGCGTAGCTGATCTATGAACAAATATATATATATAGGTATAATATAAAAATATGGGATATACGTGTTTTAAAAACTGAGCCGCTCTTATTAAATGTATGTAAAATAAATTGTATTTTAATATTTATAAAAATTAAAAAATGTATTTAATTATAGGTAGTATCAAGTATTGAAATCTTAATATAAAGTTACTGATGGCGTAACGTGCAATAGAAAATATTTGATTTTAGAGAACTAATTTGTCTTGGAACTAGTTAAATCAAGTATTAACACAGTATAAAATCGTAAAAGTTCGGTAATTTATTAATGAATAGATATATAAATTTTCGTTATTTTAAGCGCCTATAACAAATATTTGTTTTCTGTGACCTGGAAACTAAATAAATGTTTGACAAATATTAACGACAAGAAAATATAAAATTCTTAGTTAAAACATATTTTTGCATTTATATAAGTACCTACTTATAAAATGTTTTGATATACTTAAAATGCATATTTATTATTAATGAATATGTTGACTTACCTACCTATTCGACTGTAAGTAATTTCAGTAATTGTTTTTGTTGTTAAACTTGATTATTTCATATAAATAACGTAAAATACGTTTCGAGTTTACTCTTGGTTTGTTTGAAATGTCCTTTAATAAGTTAAAGTGTGTACGCATATTAGTATATACCTACATATATATCATATACGCTAGTATAATAGCAAATTCAATACATAATGTTATGTACGCATATGATATATCACTAACCTTGTCCTTCAATATCAAGTCTTATTGTAGATTTTACTTTTTATGTATGATATTATAATACTACATAGAAGTTGAAATTATGTCATAGTCTCGCAGGTGGAAGATATTTCCCAAACTTCATTTATATTTCGCATTATCGCCTGGAACTTACAACTTTTGCAAGTATTGATGATTCTATAATGCCCACGTCGTCATACATTTATATGCGTGTATGATCTATATCATACGTACGTTCACTTAAACAAATTTTACAAATTATAAATAATAAACGTAAATTGAACCTGTACATTGTACAGAACAATATTATATAATATATAATCATAAAAACTTATTATTATATTATCAATCCACATTTATGTTTTTGTAAAACAATATAAATGCGTAATCGGTATACAATTGCATACGCAAATAATTAGTCCATCGCAATATTTGGCTCTAAACGCGTGTATTATTTCCCACGCGTAATGATATTTTATAATTGTATTACCTGTTATTAAACATTTATTCATACGTGTCTCTTTGTTTTCGAGAAAAATTGTAAAAAAAAAAATAAGTATAATTGAGTCCATAAGAATGCTTGAATATGCTGAATATGTTGCTCGGGTTGAAAGGCCGATGACATCTTTCAAAAAGTCATAGAAATTATATAGCTGGAGAGAAATACTTAAATTATTATCTTGGCATTATAATTTATAAATGCTTACAATAATTCATATAAATTATCTGCACACAGTAGATAATAACAATGTAATTTTTCATAGTAAAAACTATTGTTTTTCATTAAAATGGAATTATATTCGTTTTTAATTTGCGTGGTGCAGAGTATTGTGCAAAATAATAAAAAGTAAAATAACATCATAAAAAAGAAAATTAATGCGTTAAGTCATCTAAAGTTGAAAATCTACTGTATCAACCGGGAATCGAACTCGGGCTACGATCTACGTGACAGGCGAGTATTTTACCACTAAATTATTGATGTTCATTTTTTAAAGTTAGAAAACATTTATATTTGACTTTTAAGTATTATTACAAAAATAATATAATTTTAATAAATGAAAAACCAGTTGACATTCACCTATAAAGAATAATATACAAATGTATCGTATAAAATACTAAAACAATATACACTTTGCTTATATTAATAAATTTTTATTTCATATTTTTTATATTATTATTTACTATTGATACTTTACAAATTATTATTTAACATTCCAACTATAAATGCTATAAATCGTTGATTCATTTTTTATTTTTATTTTAACAAAACTGAAGTCTTATTGCATTTTTAGGAAAATGTTTAAGTTACAAAAAAGATAAAAAAATGCTTTCAGTGTTCTGTTAATATATTGAGCAAAAGCTTATTTCTAAGCCGTGCTAAATATCGCATCACGACAAGTAGGACATATTATATATTTTTAAGTCAGTATAGAAAACAAATCGTAATGTAACATTCTAATTATTATTTTTACTACGAGATTTCTAAAATCGAGTTTGCAAACCGTGCAAAGTGTCAAGGATTGAGAACGTCACGAATGTCAAAGCACTACCTAATTATTATTATTTTTCATATAATATAATAATGAAATTATGTGATCAAATATTTTGTAGGAAAGTGGCTATTATACATTTTTAATAAATGATTTTGACGAGGTGAGGGGTTCATGATTTTTTTCGTTAATAATCTAGAGAGGCAAAAGTTTTAGCCGTGTGCTTAAGCCCCCTAATTTCCAAGACCCCTCTTACACTGTTTGTCTATAGTTCCAAAGAAGGTTTTCATTTAGTTACCTATACATATTATATTTAGATATATTTTGTTTATTTCGACGATATTGTATATTATGCTCTCTATGCATATTATATTCTTGTATTATTTTTTAAAAATAATTATGTTATTT